CGCTGCTTACTGCTGGTCGCTTCTTTTCGGGAGGTGGCGGTCACTGTTGCTGCTAAGAAAACCGACCGCATTTCCAGGGCGAGTCTCCTGGTGAGAAGTTGAGACTCTGCGCCTCCCGCCCGGACCCACATGGCTTGTTACCTGGTCATCAGTTCGAGACATCTCAGCAATGGGCACTACCGGGGCATTAAAGGAGTCTTCAGAGGGCCCCTCTGCAAGAACGGATCTCCCACTCCGGTAATGTGCGCGCACACACATACACATAGGTTCAAAATCAACATAAACAAAAAGCCACTGAGAGGTACTGTCCTGGTGCAAGAGGGTGGTGGATAGCTAACTAGAAACCTTACCAGCGGTGTATTGTGACTGTTGATACAGTTTATTGAGAGGCTATTACTCAGAGGGGGTGTGTGTTTACATGTGTGTTTTCAACACAGTCATTAGAATCTAAGTGCTGTGGATGCAAATAGTTACTGAATGCAGTTAGCTGCAGAGCTGTGAAGGTAGCTCCTCTGTGCTGTCAACTTAGGAATCTGCTGATTTGGGCAGCGTGGAAAGTTTGAGTGACACTTTATAATGTGCATTTGTGAAGTCATCAATGGAGATTAGTTTAATGCTGTCGTTGGTTTATAAGAAAATAAATGCGTTAAAGATTTTGCCTCACATCATTGCTAAAGGGAAGGGAAAGGTGTGGATATCCAAACTTGATGAAATCTAATGCTTAACTATGCAGGTTCTTTAAAGGGAAGGGAAACAAGAGTAAAATCTGAATTGGGACGTTTGTTGCACTATATACAGATATATTAACATTCAGTTTCAGTGATTCCTCTTTAAAGTTACTAGAGTATTCAATTTAATTACTCTTTGATTTACTCAAGGGCTTTTTATAAATAGTTCTGTTCGGAATCTATGACTTAAATATGAATTCGCCCCTTGGTACGTACTACAGACAAATGTTTTAAAGATTCAAACATGTTTCAAGAAAATGTGTGTGTATGTAATGATATTTTTAAAAAGTTTTGAGCTATTAGTAAAAAAGTATCCAAATGTACAAAACAACTCTTCACATTTAATGTCAAAAAAAACCCCAGTTTTTAAAGACTGATATAGCCAAGAAAACTTACATTACCTGATTTTTATTTTTATTTTTATTTTAGTGTTTGGCACTTTCCATGCTGGTTTAATGCTTCGTTAGCATGGATTATTCAAAACTGCAATATACCATAAAAATCTTTGATTAAGTTTGATAGGTGATTTGCATGAGAAATCTAAAATCAGAAAGTATGAGTACCCAGAGATACCACTAGGATTCCTATTACGACAGACTATTGCCTCCTGTGCTTTCATGCTCTGTGAAGAGTGGGTGATTGCCAGCCCCCCACTATAAGGTACTGAATCAATAGTGTTACATGGAAAATACTGTTTATATTAGCATTTAGGATTAATCCTCTAGGGTTAGAAAGGACTTGGAAAGTTCTGGCTGAGTAAAGCCCACATTCAATCTTTCTAAGTAGTAGGTCTGAATCACTCCTATTTTTAAAGATTCCCAGGACTGGAGTTTCCGCAGTCTCAGCAAACCACTTTAATGTTTAAACAACTCACAGTGTCAGGAGAATCTTCCTTATAGTAAACGTAAATCTTTCCAATTCCTGTTTAAGCCCATTTTTTTTTCTTTAAAACCTAGAATGTCTCACCTTTCTCATAGGTATTAACTTCAATGCTTTGATAAACTCTGTGGCTGTCTCCTAGCCCTGCCTTTAATTGTAGAAATCAAAATGGGATAGATAGTGTGTTGTCGTGTGTACTGTGTGCTCAGTAATACTCAGGATAAAGGGGGAATTGCTCTGTAAGTCCTACACTAGTTCTATTTAAGTTAGACTGTCATGTTAATCTTCTAAAATCTCTGGTTTGCCAAGAAAATTTCTGTCACATAATCAAAAAGTGCCCATTGTCCCCGATTCTGGTCACTTACCTTCCAAGAGCCTGACTGATTTCACAAGGACTGGTTTCGCGAATGTGGTTGTGAAAATTCAGCCCACTGTCCACATGGCTGTGCTGGCCGACCAGGGCTCCCCAGGTGCACCACACCCACGGGACAGTTGTTCTTCACTTCGACTCATTGGATGGTTCTGTCCAGTGTTTACAAATTGAATTTACTAAATTATATGTGTCTCATTTCAATATATCTAAATTAACCTGTATATGTGCTTCCTAAACCTATTGAATTTATTTTGTCTTCTTTTACATTTTACTATAGAACTTGAATGACATTTTTGGGGATTTGAATAGTTCACACATGAGCTCTAGAATGTGTGAAAAATTGATGTCCATTTATTCTTTGTCACTGGCAGTTTGTTGAGACAAGTTTTCCAAGTTGAAGTCTCTTCCCGTTGCATAACACATTGTCTTTCTCCCTTAGTTAAAGAAGGTCACTGTCTTCTGGACCCTAGATCCCTGAGCATTTGAGTAGGTTCCTGATCTAGATCAATGTCTATTTGTCTTCTTTATCAATGAATTGTGAAGCATGAAATGAAAAGCTATGGTTATATATCGTTTTTAAAAATATTACAATACACATCCTCAGTTACTTTCAGATTGACATAAATGTATTGACTTTTCTCCTTCAGTATAAGTATTAAACTCATATACCCATAAAGTATAATCACCTATTTTTTCTTTAAAACACATAGCTATTCTGACAATACCTCTTGAAAATTTATGGCCAAGTATGGTCTAAAATTGACCTCTACATCATGAGTTTAGTTATTTCTACACACCGAGACTCAGTTTACCTAGGGCTATAAGTTGGACTATACTTAGTTGATTTAACTAATTCTTACTAAGTTCTCCAGTATATCAGCTTTGGTTCTTCCTCTTTCAGTTTGAGATTTTCTACCTTCTACTTTATTCCACCTTTTTCTGTTTTAACAGGGCTGCTTAAAATTAGTACTTGGTATTAATATTTGGTAAAACACAAATGTTGAATGAGACTAATCTGTACCTTCACTATTGAAAAGAAAAAGCCATAATTCCTTGGTGACAGAATAAGAGTTTCCTCTTATATTTTTTGCCATAGATACACCTGGAAAATATCAATTTAAGATTTTATTCTCTTAGATATAATTATTCAAGTACTTCAATTATCCAATACCTCAAGAGTATATAAATAACATATACTTAAAATACTTGTATAGATTTGTTATGTTCAAGTCACATGTCTGTAAAATATGAACATGTGATATTAAGCTGAAAGCAAAAAAGAGAATGATTATATTAATAAATGTTTTTAATTTCAAAAGACTTAACTTAGAAAACATACTGAATCCTTATATGGAATCCTTGCAATTAATACTTAATGGTATACTTGAGAAATAAATAAAGCATTTTACCCCCAAACAATTTTCACAGATCAGTAAACTGAAAATCCTAGAGTGAAATTCAGCTTCCATCTTCAAAGTGAAAACATGGAAATGTCTTATCTATTGCAACTCTCCTCTTTTTAGAGACTATGTAGAAAAAAATAGCATACTGCTTTTCATTTTAATTAGAATGTGAATAATTGATTTGAGATAGTTTATGTTACTTTAAATCCAGGAATAGATTAAAGAAAAGAAAAATGAGAGAGTATTACATTGGGCTCAGTGATAGAGTCTCTATTTTTAGCAAATAATTGTGTATCCTACCACATTTTAAAATATCTATCTCCTACTTTTCCTTAACTCTAAAATATGACTGGATGAGGACTTCAAAAATGAGTATGTGACTCACGTAAACATGACAAGTAGGTAGACAGAGTTAGATAGATACTAAGGTACAGATACACAAACATTTTTATTTGTGCTCATATGCATAAGAAATTACCTGTGTATGTCATCAACCATATTTATAGTAAAACTTTGTTACAATTACTGAAGTATTCACAAAGAAAACAATCTATAGATGAGTTTTTTTGTGAACTTTTAATTTCTTCTTTCTTTTGAATTCAATGTACCAATATTTTCTAGGTAAATCAAGAATATATTTGAAATGATTCTTTTTAATGTTTTGAATTCTTAAAAATTTCCATTAAAGAGAAAGAGAGAGAGACAAAAAGAGAGATAGCACTCCCGACAGGGTCTTGACACCATGCTCTAGCCCCAGCTTCATGGAACAGAGTGCAAGTACATGTGCAGGTGTACACAGGGAGGTATCTGGTTACAGACCCTGAACTTCCCTGTGGAGACCGCCTCACAGAGTGTCATGTTTCACCACTGTACCACCATCTTCTGTGCCTGCTAAAAATCAATTCTTAGTCATTTTATGTAATCTAAAGTATCACCTCAAATTCAGATTCATTCGAGTGTAGTGTGTTGTACTTAACTTAATCTGACTGTAGTAGTAAAACTATCATTGAAGATACCCATTGATTAAATGTTTATAGTTGTAGAATTTTTCTATGGTACAAGTTTAGCTTATCAATTCTTTGAATCTTAGAGTGGTATTTCTTAAGGAATGTTTATTTCTGAGAGTACCAAAGTTAAAAATCCAGAAATAGCTCTGTTTCTGGGAATACGTACTGTTTTTCCCTAAAACATTAGATGTGAATGAAATTCTTGGAATTGTTATTTGAGCATTAGATCTAGATCCTTGGATTTTTTTTTTTTTTTATGGTTAGTGCCTTCATTAGAACGTATAGATTTGACTGAATTGCCTAACAGAGGAAGGAAGCATATAAATGTGCATTTTTAATTGATAAAAATCCTGTAGAGTTCTCTTTTTATAAATCGTAAATAAGGGGCTGGCAGGTGACTTGGTGTTTAGGGCACTGGATGTCCACAGGGTTGACCACGGTTCTGGTCCTGAACTTGGTGGCTTGCTTTCATACTTTCCCTTTTTCTCTCTCTCTCCCACTGTCTATCTCTGGTCAAATTCAAAAATAGTAATACAAATAAAATTAAATAAATAAATAACACTTTAAAAAGGTGTAGGTAAAAGAAATTCTAGAAAAGATGAATTTCCTTGAAGATGCTTCCATCCATAGAACTTCTCAGATGAGGAAATGAGTGCCACAATGTCCTTATTCTTTTTTCTAAAACTTATAATATTAGATTGCGTGTATTTTCATTATGCTTAATAAGTAAGTAAGTGTTAAACACATTCAAAAATTCTCTCAAAAATTTGTCAAATTCTCTCAGGTGCCAAATATAATTATGAAGACATGCCCTCCTATAGAGAAGTCACCTGCCTCCTCTTCTTGA